AAGAGCCCTGCTTCTTAGCTTTCTCCAGTTCAATTTTTACAATCAGATGATAAAATGACAGTCCCGCCCCACAGTGCTTACAATCTAAGGGTAAGAAGAAAGACATAGTGACTACGTTTACACTGGCATGATTTTCCGTAAATGCTTTTGCATGCAGGGAAAATCCCAGATTATATGTCTTGGATTTGGCCAATTGCATACTAAAAGCTTGTGATCCAATTCCAGTCTGGTTTTAGATAAACAAAATTTTGTAATAGATTTACAAACAGATCTTAGTGTAAAGTCTTCATTATTCACTGCTATTCTGGCCTGAATTAATTATCTTAATTATAGCTTTTCTTCCTCTTTTTTCAGGTGTCCCACAGAGTACAAATTTATAGCCTGATCGAAACATTTCATTTGTATTTCAGCCCACGACTATACGTATCTTTCTTAGACTGGAGTGAGCTACAGAGATGTGGCTGGGAATTGCAATCAAAGCAAGTAGAACGAATGTCCTTAATGGCTAATGATAGGCACGTGAGGGGGAAGGAATGCTGGGTTTTTGCACAAAAATCCATGGATCATCCACATCTCAAGTGCGTTTTTGTGCAAGAAAATCTACAGTCAATCAACAGAAGAGAGGGCTTTTTGCAGTGTAGGTACACCTCCTTCTACGAGGCATAACTCCTCTTTATGCAAGAGTTCTTGTGCAAAAAGGTATGTGTGGATGCTCAACAGGGATTTCTTGCTCAAGAAGAGCCTATCACAAAAAGCACAGGTGCTCTGATGGCCATTGTGTGAATGGCAATCAGAACTTTCTTACGCGAAAGTGTCCATGCAGCGTGGACACGCTCTTGCGATGTGACTTTGAGGTGTGGATGCACTTTTGCGCAAGACGTTCTTGCAGAAGATCTCTTCCGCAAAAAGCTTCTTGCGCAAAAACTCTGCAGGGTAGACAAAGCTCCAGAGACGTTATCCCACTTTGGTGTCTGTGGTATGGAAGGGACATAGCCGCCACCATTGACTCCTGGCCCCTCATCCTTGCACTGCAGGTCTTCTCCGGTGGTGGACATTTTACCCTGATCTGAGCCTGTTTCTGCCTTGGTGTGTCACTTTGGAAAGGTTTGCTCCTCCAGGGCTACTTTGCCTGGCTGCAAATGCATGCACCAGGCTGCTTTCCTGCCCTACGCTAGCCTAGCTCTCCAGTTGCCCCGAAAACTAGAAAAAAAAATAACCGTTTGGTTTGAACTCTCTGGCTGTGTAGGTTTACCTTTCTGCGCACCTTTTCCCCGTCAGGCATCAAAAGAAAAAAACCCCAACTTGCAAACAGCAAAAGAGAAAAAAATGTGTCCTTTTAAAATTCTGACGTCTGTGTTCTTGGTTCAAAATTATCCCAATTCTGCCACCATGTCAAGGTCATTCCCCACTCTGGCTACGTCTAGACTGTATCCGTCTTTCAACAGAGGGATGCAAATCAAGCACATCAAAATTGCGAATGAAGCTGGGATTTAAATATCCCGCACCTCATTAGCATAAACATGGCCACTGCTCTTTTTCTAAATGGAGTTTTTTCGAGAAAAAAATGGCAATCTAGATGCAGATATGTTGCAAATAAAGTCTTTTTTGACAGATCCTGTATTCTTCAAAAAATGAGGTTTACAGGATCTGTCGAAAAAGGCTTTATTTCAACAGATCTGCATCTAGACTGCCGTTTTTTTTTTAAACTCCATTTCAAAAAAAGCAGCAGCCATGTTTATGCTAATGAGGTGCAGGATATTTAAATCCCAGCTTCATTAGCAATTTCAATGTGCCTAATCTACATCTCTCTGGGTATGTCTACACTACCCCGCTAGTTCGAACTAGCGGGGTAGTGTAGACATACCCTCAGTCAACAGAAAGGTGTAGTCTAGACACACCCTCTGGCACTCCGAGTGCAGAAGGTGGGGACTCATGAAAGACTTCAAAAATACCTTGGCTCTAGAAGCTTCTACTTAAAGACTCCCCAAAGTCACAGATTTTCTGGCCTTGGAAGGTAGCTGCTACTACCGAAGTGAAAAAAACCTTTCTTGAACTGAGGAAAAAATCCGTGGGTAATTTTTCCAGAGAGGGTACCCCAATCTCTTTTACCACAAGAGAGCTCAACTCTCCCCCCCAGAAAACAAACTGTAATCTCTGATAGCTGATCTCACAGTCTTAGGCATGCATACACAGACCTCCTATTACCTTCCAGAACACAAGAAACAGATCAGTCTAAAACAAGGTGATTTTTATTAACTACATAAAAAGATATACCTGATAAAGCATACTTGGTTGCTAGGTGTTCTAGAACAATTGAGAAAAGAAAAGATTAAAAAACAGATGATTGCTTGGTTTCATCTTTAGTTACAGTTTGGAGGGGGGCGGGGACATGGACTCAGCTCAGTAGAATTTAACCAAAGAACAAATCAAAGAAAATAACCAGATCACATCTAACTAAAACATTCCCTATCTACTCACATATTCCTACATTCAAGGTCTAGCCCATTTCTAGGCACAGGTATTCCTTTTCTAGGTATGGTTTTCCCTGCATGGTTCAATTCATCTCCCCCACCTCCACCCCAGCTCCGGGTTTTAACTCACACAAAGGAGATTAAATCAAGCAACCTGTTTTTCAATTCAAATCTTAACACTCTCTTCCCATTGGTTCTCCTGTCTCCCTGCCAACACTTCCTGGATTTTTTCAGTGATTCTCTGAGTTTAACCTTTTAGAGCCCATACTCCTCCCATCTGTCACAGGTGCACAGCTGGAATTAAAAGGAGGGGAATGGGTGATACACACGTCATGTTTCTCCCTATCTGTGGAATCAATCAGCCAGCAGGCAGGGTGGTACAAATGGAAGGAGCCAAGCCAGAACTTGAGGGAAACATCCCATTGGAGGTTGGTCAAGGCACAAACGTACTGGGGGCTGTGTAGGGGAAAGAAAACAAGTAGGAGGCTGTCATACACAGGGTATGGACAGTGCAATGAAGAGGACCCAGGGCTACACTGGATTGTCACCAGACCCAGATCATTTTGACTCAGACGCTCAGTGCTCTGACCTGAATGAGCCTGACCTGACTATGGGGACCATGAAGGAAAGGGAGGAGAGTCTGAAGGAACCTAACTGATCTGGAGAAAGGCAGACTGTGTGGGGCCAGAGCAGGAAGGTGCCAGGAGACAGCCCATCAGCTCCAGGGTGCTCAAGACATCTCAGGGAGCTTGCTTTGGAGCAGAAGCTGCCTGAGGAGAGAGGAGCAGAGACCGGGCTCTGGCCAGTGTTGCGGTGGGACAACGTGTGGCAGGAAGTTCTTGGACACATTTTTGAAGAAGCGGGTGGCACACGATATCCAACCCGAGAGGGCTCTGGCTCTGGTCAGGAACGACATTGTCCTTTAGGTGGGGCAGGGGGTGGGCCCAAGGCCCAGCGTAATCTAACAGCAGCCCTAGGAGGGCCACACTGTGGGTTACAAACTGCGGCCTGTCAGGGGAACCTCCTTGCTCCTGCCAGGCCACACCCTTTGCTCCTCCCATGGGAGGGGACCGCATTGAGCTAATTTTTTCCTGAGGAAACTCTGGAGTCAGTGCCTAAGCTAAGCAGACCAAGTACCTAACATTTCTGTCACGGATCCGTGGGATGTGCAACCCATCAAAACTATCCCACCGCATCCCATTCATGGGGTAGCATTCACAGTGCTGGTTTGCTTGCTAGTCTGTACCCTCTCTGCAAGCGGGGAACGGTCCTGCTATTGTGGGGAACTTTCCTGGCTTACATACGGCTCAGTCACATCGGCTAACAACAGGATCTGAGACCTCGCTCGCACGCCCTTTCCCCAGAGCAATCCCCATCTCAGGGTCTCCAGTTCCACCCCACAGAGTCCTCGTCATCCCTCCCAGGCAGGACCCAGGATTCCTGAGAGGCTTGACCTATATTCTTGTTGTGCTGACATACGGCAGAGGCTAGGATGTCTACGCCACAGAGTCCTCGCATCAAACTAGATTTTTCCCTGAGCCACTGATCATTGCATATAGCTCGAAGGAAAAGGGAGTCTCTTTGCTGAAACAGGCGGTCCAAGGAGGGACTGTAGCCACCAAGGGCTGGACTCTCCTATCACGGCAGGGGTTCAAAGTTTGAAATGGGAGAAGTTTCTGGTGTGGTCAGATCGAGGGGGAGGGATTGAGTCCAAAGCAACGTTTCCGAATGCAGGAAGGAACAAGGAAAACCAGAAGACCAGTATTATAATGCAGCAGAGTTTTTAATGCACATGGAATTGGCAGGACGCACAGGAAGAGATTCTACAGAGCAGGAAGAATGGTATTTGCAGAGTTTCAAGAGGGTCTACAACTGGTCACCCGCCTCAATGGGGCACATTTCAGACAAGGTGCTCTATGTGCTAAGTTCATAGTGTCATGCCAGGGATTAGGAAGTGAGACAAGACAAAACACAAGCGTGGGACTGCGCAGCGTCTCCATGGTACATCTGCCGTAGCAAAGGGCAAGAGGAGGCGCTAAAGGTGCGTGGGGAT